AAAAAAAGAGCTTGCTTGTACCAACCCCCCTGTCTAGCACGAATACCCCCACGAAGCACTGGGCACTGCACAACTCACAAAATGTGCCAAATGAGAATGAATCTTCGGCTAGAACATGGAAAGGTATGCACATTTTGTGAGCACTGGGCCTTATTTTTTGTCTTTTTGTGCATGTGGCCAGTAGTGGAGAGAGGCCCACTGTCAACCAAGACTGTAGGATTGGTTGTTACAAAGCTAGAAGGTGCGCGTGTTGTATCAGCCAAGGGCCTGACCGTTGCTCCGCCAACAATTGAGTGGGCTTCCAGTCCAGCTCTTGCACGTCCCAAATGTGCCTCATTGTCCCAATCCTGCGGGACATGCATGCATTCCCAAACATGCATTCGGGTCAAGTCTACGGTCTTCCCCCGAACATAACGCACCCTAAAAATGAATGTATACAAGTCATATTTCTGGCCAGATACAGCCAAAATGAGCGTGCGTTGTGTTCGGGCGAAGACGGTAATCTGGGTACACCAGGTCATGGTTGATCCATGCTGGGGTGGGGTGAAATGTCCCTCCAGGGGCTTCACTTTCATCCCAGCTCACTTTACCTACTATTGGTCAAGTGGTCTGCCTCTTTGGTGAGACGTAGGTAGGTCATAGGTTCGATTCCTACTGGAGTTGATCTTGGGCTTCTTCTTGTGTATAAAAAGTATTAAAAACCAAGCACTTGCCAAACATTCCAACTCCAAAGGCTGCTAATGCACAGACTCTCTCTCTCTCTCTCTCTCTCTCTCTCTCTCTCTCTCTCTCTCTCTCTCCTGATGGTACGAAAAACTCACTAATTCATGAGTTGCTGACGCACAGACTGTCTCCTGGTGGTAAGAAAAACCGCGGGATATCAGATTTTTTTTTTTTTTTTTTTTTTTTTAACACCCGTCTGGGTGCTAGGGGTGCGGAGAGTTGTTATGTATCAATACATGCACGATCGATCTCAACATACACATCGAGATAAAAAAGGCAAGGGGCCACCGGACAGCCTTGACCCACCGATGGGGAGAGCTGAATTGGACGAGAGCTGAATTGGCGACAGCCTTGGCCCGCGAGAAAAAAGTAGTACCATTTGTGCTCGAAACTGAAGTAGGTTGGACAGAAAGGGCCTTCACACGATGTTTGAACCTAGGCCCAAAGCCAACCAAACACAGAGAGGACCACCTGGAGACACTCCCAGCCCATCCTGTCATATGCTTTTTCTAGGTCCAATAGGATGATGTCCAACTGAACTTCGCCTGCAGACACTCGTCAATAAGGGTAATTCAACTCCTAAATCAGCATAACATTACTCAAAATACACCTCTCACAAATGATTGTTGCCCTCCCTCATTCACCCCTAACAAATGAGGGACATCGAGATGGAGATGGAAGGGACAGTGACTAAACACGCACGTACTCCAAATTGTGTAGATGAAGAATGAATAAAAAAAGGACCCCTCACAACTGATTGTTGCCCTCGCTAATTGCTCAAAATCTGCGCCAGTTCTGAGAATCAGCATAATATATTACTCGAAAGAGTCAAAATTTGCCACCCATGGAGAACACCCGTCTGAGAGGGGTGAATTAGTCAGGGCAACACTTATTTTTTGGAAATTCTCAGCCAAACGTTTTGCCAAAAAAAAACTGTAAAAGCTAACAGAAGGGTAATTACTAATTACCAATTGGGCGATAGTTCAGGACACAATGTCGTCGTTCTTGCAAATGAGGGCGATGATCCCTTTCAGCGCCTCTGGACGAAAGAGACAGTGTTTTTTTTTTTTTTTTCCCAACTGGCTTGCTTCATTCGCAACAGGGTTCAGGACCTTCAGGTAGCTTTCGGGGCGAAAATCGCCTTTGGGGCGAAAATGGGCTGAAGAAAATGGATGGCAAGCCATCCAACGCAAATGATTTATGGGTTGCCAGCGATCTGATGGCATGCACTAACTCCACCGCGGAGTTATGTTGGCGTCCAATGTACCAACAGCATCGAAGATCAAGACTACGTCTTTGGAAAGGCAGGAAACGCTGTGAAATGCTGTGAAATGCTGTCCATTGTGCTGTGCCATCGAGGGTCATCGAGGGTCTATAATAGACACACTGCACAGCATTTCACAGCACAATGCGAACTTACTAAATTAGTGAATTAGTAAATTAGTGAATAACTTGTATAATTCTATATGGGACGCTGGGCACTGGGCCCAGCACGTGCTGCTCCCCACGAATAGACTGGAGCATTTGTCCCTTAAAACAAAAAAAAACAAAAAAAAAAAAAGCATGCGTAAAAGTGATGACGGGAGCCAGGGTCATCAAAGGGGTGAATGGGCCGCAGGTCAGGACGCACATCCTGTTCGGGCACCGGTGGAAGAAGAAGAAGAAGAAGAAGAAGAAGAAGAAGAAGAAAGGAGGAGGAGGAGGAGGGGGAGGGTGAGGAGGAGGAGGAGGACGACGGCGATGACGACGACGACGAAGAAGAAGAAGAAGAAGAAGAAGCCCCAGTTCTTCTGCATGGCCACCATACACCAAGTCAGAGGAGAGCACGGAACATACGTGTTCCACCCCGGTGCCACTACATTGTCCCCCCAAACATAACACCTGTGCATTGTATTCAAGTCTGGATTAATAAGCCCTTCTTTTAGTTTTGATAATCTTTTTCAAATAGAACGCCCTTTCCGGTACAAGGACTAGGAGTGCTATATTTGAGCCATACTTGTAGCACACGTCATGCGGATGTGGCAAAGCACGTATGGCGCACTCTGCGCAGCAGCACACCCTCAAAAAAAGGGGTCAATGGGAAAAAGGGGGAGGGG